TGATTCTATGATTCTATGATCATATTTGCAGGTTGGTCCTGCTCATCTGTTTGAAAGCAGAGGGTTGTGCAGACCTGACTGTAATGAACAGGGAAGGGCAGAGTGTCCTCTGGCCTCCTAGTAATCCTCCATTTGTCCACCAGCTGTTTCCTCTCTTACGCACAGGCTGAATTTCAGATTAAAACCTCCTCTTTCTCCTGTCGGTGTAGCTGCCCAGTCATCGGAGGAGGAGGGACTGCCGGCCTCGGGATGGTCCTAAGGTGTCTGACTGACACTGCTCTGCTCTTCAGTAGCAAGTCAGCAAAAACGAGTTCTCATGACAGACCTGGGGACTCTATTGCTCAGAGGAAGAAAATTTCAGGTCAGGTCAGCTGAATTTCCTTCTCTTTCTCCGTTGCGTTGCACATCACTTAGCACGTCATGCTGGTCTCAGCCATAGATGCCAGCGTCATTAAAATAACATTGTGTTCGAACGGGGATCTTGGCTTGACGCTGATTGCAGTATATGTCGTGAGTGCACCTCTTCCATCAGACATCCCAATTTACACGTCTGTCTTTAAAACAGCTTCCTTAACTGTTATTGCCCATCAAACTTTGGCTTCAGCCTGAGAGGCTGTGAGTGCTTGGAGATCTTCGTGTCACCAGTTCAGCTGAAGGGTGCTTGGGATATGTTCCTTGATGTCTTTCATCGTTTGATTTTTCTCCGGTGCTGCCCTATGCTCAGCGAGGGGAGCTCTGTGAATTATTTGTGCTCGCAGACACACAAAGTGCTGTTGGTGCTGTCATTACCACCAGCCATCTCGACAAAGGGTGGCTGGACAGATACCCTGCCTGAACTAGTAAATTTGCAGACGGTTTTGCAAGACTTGTAATTCCTGTGCTGCTCCCTCAATCCCGAGATGAGAACAAGGATGGGCTTATTGTTATTGCTTCCAGTTGGCCGTAACACCAGAGCCTGGCGAGGGGGCTGGGGAGCTCTCCTGGAGCAGCGGGTCAGAATTCATATGAGGCTTCAGATGGATTTATTGGGGTGGCACAGTACACGCAGTGTGGGCTTTGAGTGGTGCGTTCCCAGCAGCAGAAGGCATTAATGAAATATGTTCCTCTTACTGACTTGCTTTGAACTGTCACCTATGACTACGGCAACCGCATTCACGGGGCTGTGCAGCACTTACTGATGCACAGCTGGTAAAATCAGTAAAAATGTCCCTGCTAATAGAGAACATAATGGCAATGCTATTGTTTCTGCGGCCACCGGGGCAGACGGGGTTTTCTGGAGCCATGGAGCAGAACCTCCCTGTGCTGCGAAGCCGAGAACATCGCCTGCTCTGACGGGAGGACAGCTGCCGGGAGCAGGGGCTTCTTTGAGTGTGACCCTTTGCTCTTTCCTTAGTACTGATTTTCTTTGACTGATTTGCTTTGACAAAAGAGGATTATTGGGGGGGAAAAAAAAAACCCCACCCACCCCACTCTGCACAAGGGGAATTTGTGGTCCTCCTGTAGTGGTTCTGGTGCTGACCGGCTGCAGCTGTACATGGGTGCTGCTGGATCCCAAAATGATGTCCTTAAATCAGAGCAAATGCTCCCCATGCAGGTGGGGTCACAGTTACCACCCTTTCTGCTTTGCAAGCTGCAAGGTTTTTTTCTAAAAATGCATTGTATCCACATAACCTTCAGTTTGGAAATCCTCTCACGCCCTCTGTGTACATCTGTCTGGTAACGAGATGTCAGCCTGCGCAGGCTTCTCTCCAGGAGCTTCAAACCCCCGTGTTTCACATGTTAGCTCCTCCTGCCTACCTGGGACCTAAGCAAACTGCTAATTGTTGTGCAGATGTCATCTTCCAGGCAGGCATGAGGTTGTAGGCTTTAAAGGGGCTGTACTGTCATTTGCTACCAGCCTTCTCGGTACACGTGAGCTCTATTTTTATGGGAGTGCGCGTTTTCTTTCAGCCACCGCTTTGTTGAATTTCTTTTTCTTCTTTTCTCTTTTTATTTCCAGGCTTGCAGGTAAAGTTTTAGGGATACATCTATTTTTCATTATCCCAGTTTTGCCGCTTATTTTATAACTTAAAAAAAAAAAAAAAGAAAAGCAACCCAGAAAACTTTCCTATGTAAAAAGCAGCAGTTTGTTCCGAGGCGAGTTAAGGGCGAGCTGTGTGTCGTGGTCAGTCTGAGATTGAGGTCCTGACTGGCATTGGCCAGAAGGGCATGTAGATCTTCTGGGAGCAGATCAAGTTTGAGCCTGTAAATTCTGCTCTGGGTTTTCCAGCTCAGGAACCTGGGTGTTGGTTGTAGCTTAGTTGTACTTGGCAGGGCCCCGAGTAAGAGATGGAGGCTTTGGCCACAGGTTGTCTTTGCCCGTCTTCTGAAAATGGAGAGCTTTTCTTCTACTCTGGTTGTAATTTAATAAGGGTTTGTGGGTCCTTGAGGTTGTTCTTCGACCTTTTAGAAAAGAGGAGGACATCGACGGAGGATCAAGCACCAGGTCAGAAACACAAGGTGGTACTTCCGCACACGGTGTGAATTAAGCAGTGGAACCTGTTGCTGAGGGATGCTGTGGGTGTCAGAAGTCCAGATCCACTCCAAAAGCAATTAATGGGGAAAAAAAAATCCGGTTGAGCTGGATTTGAGCTCAAAGATACAGGCTGCTGTTCGGGAAGACCCTGGGTCAGGAGTTTTTGGAAGATGCAGAAGTTCATCAGGTGTATTACTATTTGTGCTCCCTGCTCTGCTGCTTTTTCTTAGATGTCCACCACTGACCAGCGTGATGCGGTGTTTTGCCTTTTATTTTCTTTTTTTGGCTAAAGCAAAAACCAAGCAGGAAGAGGAAGAAGTAACATAACAGAGTGGGGAGACAAGATAGCAGTGAAGGGATGGAAGGAGAGGACTCTACTCCCTCCGTGTCCCCAAAGTTTTTTGGGGGGGAGAGGTCCTTTGGTGGCAGGAGTTGGTGTTGGGTGCGCCTGTGAGCATATTTTCTGCTTTGTGAAATAGAAGATGGTTGCTTCAAGGAAAGAAAAAATCTACGATGTGATGTGCCATCCTGATGGACAACAGAGACGGAAAGAAAGATATTTAGGACTGCATGTATGGGAGGAAATTCTTTAAAACCTGGGTAGGAGTAGGAGCAGACTTGATGGAGGGATGAGTAATGAAGGAGTGTTTGAACGGAACTAATCAGTCCCATCTTCTTTCAAAAGACCTCATTTAGTTTAATTTAGCAGCGTGTAAATTTAGAGCCAATCAAAAGAAATACTTCTCCATCCTGTGTGCTGGCAGGCTGCTCCGTTCCCTACCCCAGCGTAAGAAGCAGTGAGCTGAACGCTGTGGGTGGATTTAAAGCCTCGTGTTGTGCGGCAGTGGGGGCACGCGTGAGCATGGTTACACACGTAGTGGTGGGGATACGAGCTCCGATCCAGGGTGACTGGCAGCCACAAGAGCAGGACCCTTCTTTCTTTCCCCCTCTCTTGTTCAATAGGTGGTCTGTGGTCGGTCAGGGTGGCTGTATACCGCGGGGCTGCTTGGTGGTCCACTGCAAGCGTGGGCAGAGCCGGCTCCTGGGCTCACGGTTCGGGTGAGCCGGCGCTCTGAGCAGCGGGGAAAGCCTTGTGCTGTAGAAACCACCGAGTAAACCTCGTTGACCTCTGCAAAATGTTGTTTTCCTCAAGAAAAACTTACATATGGATTTAGATATTACATACGGATTTAGATAAACCCCTGATCCTTTGACGGCTGGTAGTTTTGTTTTATTTGAATTAACTTCTGTGTTTAAAGTGAGGCATAGGCATAAAAAGCCTTCACAGGATTGCACTGGTTTTTATTTTTCCCTGTAGTTGTCATCCGTGGCACTAACACAGTGATTTTTAAACAAGACTTGCAGGTCTCTTCATATTTTCCAGGAGAGATATAAGCCCCTGCGGGGTCAATATAAGCTACTTTGTCGTTACCTGTCATAAACTCCATTAGCAGAAAAATCGGCACCCCTTGCTGTCGGCTGCCCCCAATGAGACCCATGTGCTAACACCTCGAGGTGTTCTGTTTCCTGCGGTGTCACACCCCTGAACCCATGCTGCGTTGCAAAACGTCGTGTAAAGAATGCTGAAACCTGTGAAAATGTGGACTAAAATATTGTTGGTTTTGTTTTCCTTTGCATTTCAGGCTGGTGGCAATGTCTCACTGGGCTGGTCTCCTCTCCACCGCTGCCAAAGTCAGCCTGCTGGTCTTGGTGGTTTCTGCGGTGTTTTCCCGGTCAAGCCTAAGCGACAGAGTTCCCGTAAGTGTTGGCTGCTCTGGCTGAGAGCCGTGCTCGCAAGGCTGTCCAGCCACTGGTGTCTCTGGTGGGGCGACAGCCTTACCTGATCCCTCTGTAGGGCCGAGTAGGGTGTTGCAACGGTTGGTGAATCACCTCTCTGACAACAACATTTCAAAAGGGCTTCTTTCTTAAGACTGCTTGTCTCACCCGAGGAAATCCAGGATATGCTCAATCCAGAGGGTTTGCAACAGGAACAGTGCCACTCGGGCAGCTCACTTGTTTGCTAGGTGTCACTTTTTCTATTTGGAGTTGTCACACGTTCCTCCCATGGCAAGAGGCAAAGCTAATTACGCGGTCTAGTGGCAAGAAGAGGGGAAGAGGTGGCCTCGATTAGGTTCCTAGCTGTGCCTCTGTTGAGTCACCGCAAGTGAGTCAGACTTAGACGAGCGTCCTCATGGGTCCTTGTGTCCCACGTGCACGGATTTTGCTACTTGCAGTGTTATTTTGAAGCTGCAGTTGAGGTGAGTGGATGCTGTCTGCCCCTTTGCACTGGTACAGGTGTGCAAAACTCCCCTGGTTTGGATTCTGCTGCTGAGCCCCAGCTGCCAGGCCCCGCTAGATAAGGAAGCTTTCCAGATCTGCTAGAGGAAGCTCGAGCAGTAGAGAGTGGTGGTTTTTTAGTTTGTTTCATGCTGTGGTTTAAAACAGGGGGTCTCCCAGCAACACTGGCGTAGGGGATCGCTGGACCCCGTGTCCCTGGACGTTCGCTCCTGCCTTTGCATTGCAGCTTGCTGGTCTGCTGGTTGTGCGATGCGGCTGTTTGGGGGCTGTGCTATTACCTAGAGCAAATACAGGGGACAGATTACAGTATAAGCACTGCAGGCCAGTGCCTTGGGCCCACCTGGAGTCATGTAAAGATGAGATAATTTGTCTTTGTTTCAGGGAGGGAGAGGAGGAGGAGGCTGGAGAATAGAGCACAGTCATCCCAGCTGGAGAACAAGCACTGGGACAGCCAGCCAGTGATACGTGCCCAAACTGGCAGGCAGCCTGACACCGGGGTTCAGGCAGGATTAATGCAATGGGTGGTTAACTCTCCCATCACCTTTTTCTGCTCTCCCCCTACAACGGCTCCGTGGTGGCCACGTCCCTCCTTTATTGCAAACAGACTGCAGATTGTCTCAAACCCTCCCTGCTGAGGCTTTTCAGCTTATTGCAGTTGATTTCAGACTGATAAAGCAAGGAGGCATTTTGACTTTAAGGAAATTTCCATTGTTCTTTAGAAAACATCTTTCTACTATTTTAATTACGAAAACAAACCGAGAAGGATCCTACCTGATTTCTGTGTAAATGAAGACTCGCTTGTGTGTTGTTGCCCATTTTTGCCAGGAATGCTAATGAAAACGGGGTATTGCAAAGCAATTGCGGGCCAAGCAGTGGCAGTAACTTTAAATGAAAGAAGTCACATCCTTTTACCCTTGCCGAACATTCAGACCACGACACTTCTCTTGAGCAGAGCCGGTAAACATCAGCCATCTCGATTATGTGTTTCAACAGATACAACACTGGGAGGCCTGTTGGTAAATTTACAATGGCCTGTATCGTTAAGTCCCTTTTGGATAATAATATAGCAGCGTAAATAAGCTGAGTAATAATTGCTCTGACTCATTTATTTTAGTCCTGTTGAGTCTTGGCTCAGAAAATGTTAACATTGATTTTTATCAGTAGAACCTGGCTTTTTATGTTCATGATTGTTACTGAGCTTTAACCATTTGTCATAATTTTAACAATTTCAAGCCTCTGATGTGCTAAGCGAAAACAGGAGTTAAGCTCTGTTTTCCAGTGCATTTCCAAAATTTCAATCCCTTTTGACAGATAAAATAAAAACATTCTATAGGTTTGTCAACCATCTTCATGTGTTACCATTGTACGTGGTTTGCTCAGGCTGACATTTCTCTTGCTCAGAAACACTCTCCTAGGCTGGATAATGGATATTTATATGCAAAGCACCCAGATTCTGCCAGAAAATATGTGCGCATTTTTTCTAAGAAGTGCAAGAAGTGAAGGCAGAACATGACCTAAAATTTCCAGTTAACCTCTTAATTGACTTCTTTTTTTCCCCGTAAAAATGTTCTAAGGATTAATATCAAAACACTTCATGAAGTGAGCTGTAACTCTTGTTCTAATTGCCAACAATTAGGAATAATCTTTCGCTATAGGTTGGTTATTTAAAATTATTCAGTGGAGTCATCCTCAGCGATATCAGAAGCTGATAATACTCCCTGCAACAGAAACTGAGCTGTCTGGACGATTAGCCTGTTCCTGTGAAAACCAGAATAGCAAAGACCTGCTTCCCAAGCAGTTAATAGCCTGGTGTGAGATAGTACGAGGTCGTTACTTACTATGCGCTCTCGATAATTTTACCTGTGCAGTTTTACATGACTCCCTCTGGCTCCCTAGGGAGACTTTCCAGGGAACAGCGAGGTTTCCCTCGCAGCAAGGATTTTTTTTCCTGCTTTTCATCCTTGTTTTTTCCCTTTGCGTAATGTCATACCACTCGTGCCAGCTGATCTACCACACCTCTGCCATTCGCGTGCTGCACTTACAACGTAAGTGGTGATTAAATCGCTGCCTCATTGTTTTAAAAGACTTGGAGGACACCAGGAACGGATAAAGAAAAGGATGCTTGCATTTTTATCGTGTGGGCAATTTGGTGTGTTTTTCCCCGTGTCCTATTTTGGAAATAGTTGAACTATTTTAGCTGAAATCTTCTCCAAGCCTGAAATGAGTGCATTTAACAAAAAACCAAAATCAACGCTTGAGGCGTTCCACTCGTGTGGAAAATTTCAGCTGAAAAAGTTAAGTGTTTGACATATTTTTAGGCAAGGGAAAACAGGGTCTTACAATGTTACACAATCCTAAAAATAGTCAGGGCTCCTGGCTCTGGGTGTAATATAGGTGAGGCTCTGCGAAAGCTTGTTTTAAACCTGCAGCCTGCACTGGAATAGGAAATAAGCTGTGTTGCTTTGTTCAGCACAAATGTCATGCTAGTTATGCATGTTTAACCTTTAATATACTTTAAGTCTAAATTTAACCATGTGGAAAGAATCTTGGATGTCAAAAAAAAAAAAAAATCTGCTGGTGAGGGAAAAAATTTTGTATTCTCAGCCGGCACTAAATTACCCAGATGCAATTGCTAATGAGCTGAATCTCTTCTATCCAAAAGGAGTTTGCCCTTACAAAAATAGAAGAGAGCGACATAAAAGATGACAGCGGGAAAGAGCCAGTAACAGAAGATGATGCTGATCCTGAAGATCTGGAAGTGTTTTACCCCACACATCAGTGGCAAACCATCCGTCCAGGTAACGTGCTGATGACTAATTATATTGTCCCTCTGAAACACCACCTGACAGCACCGACAGAAGCCTTGCAGAAACTCAAAATACCTGTTTGTTCCCATGACAATTTTTTTTTTTGCTGGTGTTCAGACAAAGAGCTATGGACCCAATGACCCCATACGGGGAAAGGAGACCGTCACCGAACCGGCTGGCGGTGGGAGCAGTTGCTAAAGTGCTTTCAGTTCACTGGAGCAGGTCGAATGGGCTGCCAGTCACATTGTAGGTGGTGATGTGTCTCTGTCACTAGCTCAGAAGCCCTTTCTCTCTTTGTACGCTTGTCAAGGGACAGATTTTAAAACATTTGTTGGCACGTGGTATCCCAGGTCTGCTGTGCTCCAGTGTGGGCTGGTGAAATGCTGCTCAGTGGCAATCTGATTAAGAACTGTCAATGTAACACTGCACAGCTTTTTAACAATGGGTTCTCTATTCTTTGAAATCCAGCTTTTATCCTTATCCATACATCCAACAAAAAAATCTCTTCCCTTTTTTTTGGGTTGGTATCTTTTATTAGACGTGTTTGGGACATGTATGGTGAGAAAACACCAACTGAGCAGGCTGGCTTCGCTGCAAAAACATGTGCGCTGGGAAGGGCTCTGGGGAGGATAAGCCCATTTAAACACACACACACAGATGCATGTGTGCACACATATTTCAGCAATTAGGATGAACAGTAAGCCTGCCTCTGGGGTCTTGGACAAGGTATTTAATCCACTTGTGCTTTGGTGTCCTCATGTATATGCAGGTGTAATACCGTCCCACCTCAGAAGGGTGAACTAAGTAGTAATTAGTTTTTATAAAGTGCTCTGAATTTAAAAGAGCTTTATCCTGTGCTCAGTATTATCATTGAATGAATAAATATGGGATCCATTTGCCTTGAAATTTCTACCAGATACAGCAGAATGACTTTTCCAAATGTAAATCTTGTATAACATAAATGTCTTAGCAAAAGCCCCTAAATTTCACAAAGCTGCAGTATATACTTATATTCCATTTTTGTACCGTTATGTATGGAAGGCGTGTGGTGTCCCTGCTTAGTATTCAGACTGGCAGATCCCCACCACCCTTGTTGAAGCAGAATACGTATATACTTGCAGTCATGATAAACGTCGTTGCCGGTTTTGTTCAGAAGTACCTTCTCCGTTACTTGCGTGTCTTGTTCCGCTTTATTTTTGTAGCAATTCCACATTGGGCATGTGCAGCAAAGGGCTTGTGGAAGTGGGGAGCTTGTCAGCATTCACTGAGGAGAAGAATTTCAATTACTCTTGTAAAAGGCTTAAATGGTGGCCTGCCTCATCGTGTGGTCGCTGTGGATCCTCATGTCAGGTGTGCATGCAGATTTGGGTAGAAACGTGTCAGAAAGAGGAGTCTTCCTTGGTATCCCCCCACCAGCGCGGGTTTCTGTCTCCTGTGGGTTTCTCTGAACCGAAATCCTGCGCGTGGACTGTGACTCGCACTTTTGGCACGTGTATTACCCGAAGCAAGGCTGGGGAACTGCTGCCTTCATGAACCCATCTCTGTGGCCTCTGGCCTTGAGGGTTTCCCCCTTGCTAGCACAGGTCCGTGCTGGGGAGGGAGTTGACCCGCAGGACGAGGGAAGCAGCCAGCATGGCTGCACGAGGGACGTGCCTTTCGGTCCTTTAGCAGAGGCACGTGCGTTGGCAGTGTGTCTAGTCTGGTGGTGCTGCATCTTCTGATGTTTTCTGATGTGATTTCACTCGCTCGTAGCCGAGCAGAGTCCTGGCTGGGCTGTGCTCGGCACAGGCCAAAGTGAACCGCAGCACAATGCTCAGAAGTTTGCTTTCTGCTGCCCGCCTCTCTGGGATGCCCCCCCGCTGTTTTCTGTTGTACCCCTGTAGCAAACAGAGCTGGTCTCTCCTGGGGAAGCAAATGTTTTGATTTAAAATCTGGATCTTCAATTTTGAATAGTGGAAGGGAGCTCAGAGTTGCATTTCCCTCCGTCGCAGTCCTGTTTCATCTTGTTCCTGTTCTGAACTCAGCAGAGGATTTTTTTATGCTTCTGTCCGGTCCTGCAGTTGCTCATCTTTTATACATGTATTTCCAGTTTTATTCTGCTGCTTTTCTAGTTCCCTGTTGCTAATTGCATCAAACCACGCTTCGGCTGAGACTGCAGCAGTGTCATCAACCTGTAACCTGTCAAATCCCTCCACCTAATTCAATTGTTATTGTATATGTAGCACTGCTTTTTGCAGTTGTTCCCTCACTGCCTACAATGTGAGCTGGATTTTGATCAAGTGCTTTCTTGAGCCTTGAGCGCGCTCCAAGCTGCTGGAGGTAGCTGGATGCAAACAGAGGGAGACAGTTACCCTAAGAGTTCTGCTGCCTGTAATCTGGAAGCAAGGAGATCAGTTGTCTCTTCTGCCAGCAGCCAGGAAGCTGACGGACTGTAGAAAGGTTGGTGAAACTTCACAAAGTCCTTTAATACTTTGTTAGGCATTCGCTTCCTTCTCGTTCGGCACTAAATAATGCACTAGGCACAGCTGGGTTAGACAGCAAGGATATGTGCGCCTTGGAAAGTCCTCCCAGCGCCTCCATTATTTTACTTTTTTTTGATATCATCTGAGGAAATGAAGATGACATCTGCAGGGCTTTTTGCTCTGTTCTTGGTTGGTGTCCATAGGAACTTGAAGGCTACTTGGGTTTTAACGAGCGGGATTGCACTGAATGGATGTTCACGCCCATGGTCGGATCACTTCTCGTGGTCAGGTGTCTGTTCCTCCACAGACACAGAATTTTTTTGAAGTTGTGCTTCCTCTGATGTCCTTTTCCTTTCTGAATGCACTTTTACCAGGTGATAATACCCTCTGCAGTACCCTCCAGTTCTCTGGAGAAACATAGCAGAGGTGACTTGCTTTTGTTACTGCTTACGTTAAGCTCTTCCAAGTGTGTGGAGGTGAGTCTGTCAGCACAGAAACACCCCACCACTTTTCAAGGTGATCTTTGCCTGTTGGTTATGGCAAACAAACCATATTCTGATTCCTTAATCTTTGGGACGGCAGCGGTGAATGGAAGGATTGGGTGGTATTGATGGTCTTCTCTGTCAAATTGACAGTTTTCTTCGGGGTTCTGTATATAAAAGCTTTTCTTTCACGTCTGTAGGTGACCTCAAATCTGCCACGCAACATCCTAGAGCACATGAATGCTTCATTTCCCAGGAATTACCTCCTTTTGTTATTTGGGCACCTTGTTTCCCTCTGTTCCGTTTAGCATTCCTGATGGTGATTGAAAGTCGGATTGCTCTGACCATTTAATCACATCACTGACCAGCAGATTTTCCACCCGACATTAGGGTCAGAAGTGACTCCTCTGAGAAGACATTCCTGTGAAGATTAAGAAAAAGGGTATAAGAGGCAAAGGTTTAACTGGGGGGAAAAAAAAGGGGGTTAATCACCTCCTCAGCAGCGACCAGTGCTGTGGGGAGCCCGGGCTGTGCAGTGCCTCTGCAGATGGGCTCTGTCCACCTCCGTGGCAGCAGCTTTTCCCTGCTCCCTGACGCAGCAGAAACTCACTGGCTGGTTTCTCAGCTGACAGTTTGAAGTTGGGAATTAATGTGTCCAGTTTCCAAATACAGATGGACCAAGAGAGACCCTCATCTGCCCGAAATATTAAAATATTTACAGTCTACTCTGCACGCTTTGCATTTGAAAGGAGCCAACAGTGGGGCACAGAAAGGCTTCCTTTGGTCCAGAGCAGCTCCCTGCAGACCAGAGAAATGGAGGAAAATCTTGCATTGGCGATTGAAATGTTGCAGCATTGGATCTCTCTCAGGTTTGGATAGCGTGTTTCAGTATCTAGCTGGGCAGAGCATGTGTTACAGGAGCTCGGCTGGCCTGTACCTTTAGCTGTGGTTAAACTTCTGGCTTGCAGAGCGCTGGGCTGATACCTGCGGTTACCTTATAGCATTTGTACTGTTCAGAGTCATTTTCCTAAGTGCCTAATTATATTGAAGTTAAAAAATAAGAAGCCATGACTGCCGCTGTTGATCAAACTGCCAGAGCAAAGTTGATGTGAGCGTGCTGTTGTTGCTGCTTCTGCAAATCAGCAGGGAGCTGATGATACATTGCTTAGCATTAAATATCCATGGCTGCAGCTTCCAAGGGTCCTCGGGCTGCCTTCTCTGTTTTATGTGCATGGAAACACAGTTCTCAAAGAGAGCGTTCACACTGGGGAGGTAATTTCAGAAGCTGCTTTGACGAACTTGCCGTGGTTTTGCTAGAAAGAGCAGGACTCGGGATGGGGCATAACGCAGTGTAGTTTCATTGCCAGTCTTTGTCTTTCAAGAGATTTCAGCGTCTGAATGAACCAGCGCTGCTCTAAGCCGAGAAGAGGTTTTTAAAGCTGGGAGGAGAAGGTAATGGCAGGAGGGATCCCTTTGTCTCAGGAATCCTGTGCCAGGGCCTGTCCCGCAGCCCGTGTGGATGATGTGGTGGATGGCGAGGATTTCCTTACACCTTGTCGGTGGGTGTCTTGCTCCTGCCGTTTACCGGGATGTCCTGAGCTGCGCTGACTCCTGCTAATTGCTTTGCTGAATTAATGAATCTGTTAAAACCACTGGCTTCTCGGTGACCTAGACCTAACTCAAACAGTTGTGTGCAGGTCTCTGAAATATTTATGTCAGCACAGGCAAGAGAGGGCTGTGAAATACGGCGTTAAACCACCAGGATATGCTCGTTTGTGCAAAGGTTGACATGCGTAATCCAGGAAATAGGAACCTCATCAGATCAGCACAGATTTGCATGAAGAGGGAAGGCAAATGGGATTTTAAAAACCTCATTTATACTAGATGAAATGCTTCTTTTCCAGGTTGTAGTTTTTGGTTTTGTTGGGTTTTGTGGTTTTTTTTGTTTTTTTTTTTTTCTTTTTTTTTAAATAACTTGTTACCGATGTGTGGAGGGGAAAAATCCCAACTGTGGAGTCATCATAATCTTCTCTGGCCAGCAACAGGG